TAGATGAGCATCTTCGTGACCGTGGGTTTGTCCTAAATGTGTTGATTGAGAGTCCGGCACAACACAGCGACTTGCAAGCAGCGTATTAAATAAAGTGACGTGTGTCTTAATGCGGCTTTGGAAATGAACACAAAGGGATTCTGTATTTGCTCGTGAAGCCTGAACATTCTGCTTATGTTGTAAACTTGTAAATATAGTCAAGAAGAGTGCTTTGCAAAGGCGTCTGTTCTCTAATCTCTGTGCTGCTGAGGGAGAAGAACACACTGGGCTACTGGACCATTCTGAGGGGCGACGGCTTTCACGGGGAACTACGCAAATCTATTGGGGAGTTTTTACTTTTCCAAAAGCGCACAGAGCTGGCTGCACTTTTCACTGACAATGTGTCACCAAACTTTCATATCTTGCTGACGTTTTCGCTGAGTTGAACCAACTAAACAGTTCCGTGCAAGGTGGCAATACACACGCCATCAGCTGTGTGACAGAATGGAAGGCTTTCTCATCGGGGAGGGAATATCTTCCATGTTTCTGTCAGTGGATGAGCTGGGGGATTCTGCTGTGCTCTCGCCTCCCGCAACACGCGCAGTTCTTGTGGAGGCGCTGGAAGGACAATGTGGGAAGTACTTTTCTGAGGCTGACTCCCGGCGCAGGGACAAGGCTTGGATACAGTTTTCCATCCAGAGACAACGCAGCAGACGGCACACGCCTGACAGTGACAGAGGAGGATCAGCTCATCCAACTATCCACTGACCGTACGTTCAGAAACATTTACCAAACCAAACCACACAGTTCTGGATCTCTGGCCACAAAGACTTTCCACAACCAAAAGCAATGATGAGCCTTTTGCCCTTTGCAACAACTTATCTTTGCCAAAGTGGATTTTCCTCCCTCACCTACCTGAAAAACCAATCCAATCTAATAGTGATGAGATGTCGACTAATTCATGATTGACAGACTATGCAGACACCCCCCCCAGAGAAAACAACAACAACAAGTCAAGAGTCAGAATCTCCCGCAGTGGAGGGAGGAGAAAAGCTGGAAGGAGAAGGCGTCCAATCACAGATGAATACTGGCGAGGCGCAGTAGAAGGAAACAAAGGGCCCCTTGCAGCAGACTCATAACACACTGTGTGATACGCGGCGTAACGCAGTGTGTGTTCATCTGCAGCTACACTTTGGGCTCCGACGTCTTGGTCCAGGGTAACGGATCAGACTGAAGAGCTTTTGTGGGAAGAAATGCGTAAATATGAGCCGTCATTGGCGGACTATGAGGACGCCGGATGGCCTCTGATTCATGGAGGGAGATCTCCACAAACGAGGGAACAAAGTCGTGGAGGAAAATACGGGACAAATGTGTCCTTGATGAAAAGCAGCAGTGTGGATGCACGGGGCAATAAAGTCTATGATCAATAAATAAAGCCACCAGCGACTTCCACACACAAAGACGTGACTCTCCAGGTCGTCTTCAACAAAACACGTGACTCCACCTGTTGTTCTGGAGGTGAATCGCTCTGCAACACACGCAGACTTTACAACCAGGAAGTGAAACCAGCGCGTCGACGCAGACGCAGAAACACGCGGCGCCTTAGCCTGGGGGGGAACAACTGTTCAGGCTAGAATGCAGATGTTTGTTTACTCTGTCTCTTTTGTTTCTGCTTGTTGGACTGTGTGTGTTTATTGTTGGTTTTTCTTTCATGTTTTGTGTTCTGGCTCCTTTGTAAAAGTGGAATAAAGGATTCTTTAAACCTCAAACCTCTCTCTCTCTCTCTCTCTCTCTCTCTCTCTGTCTCTCTCTCTCTCTCTCTCTCTCTCTCTCTCTCTCTCTCTCGGTGCATGCTGGGAGTGAGTGTGTGTGAGCGTCTTTGAGCGGTTTTCTCTCTTTGTTTTTTCCCTTAGTTATATATATTAATTGAATGTGGTTTAGTGGTTGTTTCTCACTTTAGTCGTTGGGGTTTTTCTTTGGGTTTCTTTTCTCCTGCCGGTGTCTCGCCGGTCGGCGTCTCTAGACGGTAAATGGAGACACGTTCTCCCAGCTCACGAGGAAGCACGGCATTAAGATCGCCGCGGGCTTCCCGTGCAGCGTGGAGGACATCGGGCTGTGGGGGAGAAGGTCATGCACGGCAGCGTTAAGTCGGCCTCGCGCATGAACAGCGCCGTGGTCATCTTCCTGGACCAGGTGGAGAAGGTGAACCGAGTCGTCGAGGCGCCTCACGGTGAATGAAATGTTTGTGCAGGTGTTGCCGTTGACGCAACCGGCAACAAAAATCGTTCTATCAAACGTCCCTCCGTTCATCAGCGACGAGTTCCTCAGCAGAGAGCTGTCCAGACACGGGAAGGTGGTCTCACCGATCAAAGATCTTGTCTGGACGTCTCAGTTACTGAAGCACGTGGTGTCTCACCACAGACACCTGAATATGATCCTTAACAACCGGAATGTGGAGCTCAACCTCCGCTTCCACGTGAAGGTGGATGATTATGAATACGTGATCTTTGCAGCATCCTCGTCGATGAAATGTTTCAGCTGCGGTGAGGAGGGGCATTCCGTGAGAGCCTGTCCGGGGCGCGGGGTCCCTGCTCCGCCTGCCCCGGGGGGCACGGTAGTGGTGCTGCTGGGCCTGACCTGCACGGGGTGAGTATGAATGTGAACGGTGATGGTGATGGTGTCCAGGGCAGTAGGGGGGGGCTTTGGCTACAGGGGGAAATGGTGAGGAGGGAGGGGGTCAGATAGGAGCGGGTCAAAGTAGGAAGCCTGTAGAAGAGGCAGAACAGGGTGGCGGAGGGGAGGGGGGATATAAAGGTACGAGTGGGGGGGGGTGGGCTGAGCAGGTGGAAGAAGCATAGATGGAGGAGGAGGAGGAGGAGGACGACGACTGTGGGGCGGGGGGGCAAAAATTTGCCCCCAAAAGAAGAATAAGGCGAAAATATTGAAGTGTATTGACGTTCTCTTCTTACAAGAAACTCACAGCGACAGCACCAACGAGGCCGACTGGAGGAGGGAAGTCCTGCTGAGCCACAACACCAACCTCAGTGGAGGAGTGGGCTTCCTCTTCTCCAGGTCCTTTAATCCACCGTCACTGGAGGTCAAACACATCATCGAGGGGAGGTTGTTCTTAGTCAAGGCACGGTTCCACCTTTTTACTGTTGTTTTTATCAATGTGTTTGCTCCAACAATCGGTGCAGAGAGGAAGCTGTTTTTACAAAAAAGTGATAATGTTTTAAATGGCTGTGCCCCCGAGGGTTTTTTATTTTTTGGGGGGGATTTTAACTGTACGGAAAATGATTTGAAAGACCGTAATCACGCAGAGCCACATCTTTAGTCTGATGCGTGTCTCCTTGCAGGCGGCTGGTGGATCCAGAGGACCAGCTGGGTGACATCCGGTCGGACTCGGTGCCGTCAGAGGTTCGGGACTGGCTGGCTTCCACTTTCACCCGGCAGACGGTTGTGATGCTGCGCCGTAACGAGGACAAGCCACGCTTCCGCAGCATCGTTCACGCAGTGCAGGCCGGCATCTTTGTGGAGAGGTTTGGCTTGTTTGGTGTATTTGATGCAACCGTCATGTGGAATATTAGGCCCTTCATAGTTGTTTAGTCATGATGTGTGATGTTTGTTTCAAGGTTTTCCCATTTAACATGAATAATATAACACAGATAACATAAAGGGTCCATTGGTAATAATAATAAAACTCTGCATTATCCTCGTAGCTGAATAGGGTACAACATGCGGAACTCCACTGGGTGATTGTTGGCTGTGATGGTCAAAGCCAGCAGGGATACGCGTTACTTGTACGTGGTGCAACTAAGCCAATCAAATGTCCTCTTAGCTCAAACTAACCCGCTGACTGAAACCATGCTAGCTGATCCAGCTTAATGTCATCAACTGGAACCAGACGTCAGTCATCAGGATAATTGTGTGTCCGCGTCCTACTTCAAAAGGGGGAAGAGTCGATCAAATCAACTCAAAGGAAGAGGCTCTTTTTTCTCCGCTGACGAGCAGGAGGGGATCATGAACGCACCATATAGAACCAGGAGTTTGAATATGTGTGTGTGAATCAGCATGTATGTGTGTATTCCCTCTATTCTTATCATGAGTCCACCTTAATCATATTCTATAAAGATGATAAGCTCCGTAATGAATAGTGATAGGAACGCCTTTTCAATAAGTGATGAAACACTGAATGACTCATTTACCTGCAGTTCCATAAAAGCCCTCTTTGATTGCATTTACTGGGACATCGGCAGGGAATGTAATGAACCATCCAGAAGTTCCTCAAGCGCCAAATAAACTTCAGGAACAGCGCGGCGTGCAGCGGCTTTCCCCGTGTTCTCTGCATCCCAACAATGTACACAAATGCACCGTTGAGACACATCGTCCTGCCTGGAATGCAAGGACTCGATTGGTCGATTGGTACAAAATCCTCCAGACTAAATTGTAACTGGTGTTTTTATGTTTTCTTATTGATGGTACCTTAACAAAGGAATCCTAGAAATGAACAGTTGAACCGTTATGTGGACATTCACGTGCTAATAAAGCTTCTGTGTGTCTTTTCTAGCATGTGGACATGTGGTCTTTTGATGTGTTTGCACTGAACGATGCTAGTGGGGACCACGCTCTGAAATTTGTCTTCTTTGAGCTATTCACCAGATCTGACTTGATCAACCGTTTCAAGGTATGTTCATTTTGACAAGACGCTGTGTATGTAATGAGCACAATGTCAGTGACAGCAGAACTAAGTATTGATGGGAACGTACTGGGTTTCAACAGAACAACTTCTCTGTATTGCTTCTACAATCTCTGCAAAGCAACTGGTTGTTCCTTGTCTTCTGTTGAAGGTCCCTGTTTGTGTCCTCATATCCTTCGTGGACTCGTTGGAAGTGGGCTACAGCAAACACAAGAATCCCTATCACAACCTGACGCATGCGGCTGATGTCACACAGACCATTCATTACCTGCTCCTCAAGACCGGCATGGTGGTACCTTCAGGGTTGGGTAAAAGCACAATGCAATACGCTTTTCAAAAGTGCCTGCAGACTTCCTCAGTGGATCTTACAAGTCACTCATCACAGCTTTCCTACCTCAAAATCCAATCGGGATGAATGATGACTGACAGGTAGATAATAATGATGCAATAGCAAAGTTAGTGTTGTCTCTGACTGTAAATGGATGAAAGGCTGCATGACAAACTGGAGCTTTAAGTGACTTTGGTGACTTTTATTGATGTAGGTTGTTACAGCAAAGAAAGAACAACAGAAGAAAGAGTTCAGTGAATCAGTAAAGACAAAACATAGATTTACATCATGGTTAAAACCTAAATGAGACTCCTTCTCAGGTAACCAAGGCCGCAATAAACAGAGGCCCCTCCCCCAAGCACAAGCACCACCCAACTTAATTCGTGTTGAAATAATGCATCAACAATCCCTCATGCCGGCTGTCTAGGGACTATAGCAGCACCACATGTACAATGCAGACATTGTGTTATTAAAAGGTACAAGCCCCGCCTCCACGTGCCTGTGGGTCACTACGGGGGTCAGAAAGCTGCATGGGGGCAAGGCCGGGGCTGGGTGGGACTCGCCGTGAGTCTACATGTGCTTTGTGGACGGAGAAGGCTTTTGACTCTCCAGTTGGTGACTTTCATGGACAGGATATCTAGGCGCACCCGGGGGTGGAGGACCTCGGGTCGGGGGTCTCCTTCTCCTCTCTGCTGGTGCTGATGTGATGTTGTCCTGTTGGCCTCCTCGCACAGTGACCTCCAGCACTCAGTGAGGCACTTTGCACCAGATCCTCTTGGTGAAGAGCTCTATTTGCTTTCATTTGAGTTGAGGTGCTACTGGAAAACAACCGAGGTGGTTCAGGCACACTGACAACTGGCAAAGAGACTCTGTGCTGGTTCACTTCCAGCAGGAGAACCGCACAACGTTAAGCAGGACGGTTTTTTAATCTTCATCTCCCGATTGACACGTTCCTCCTCGTCTGTCTGCCTCTCTCCTTCAGCACTGGCTCAGTGAGTTGGAGATCTTTGCCATCATTTTTGCAGCTGCCATTCATGACTACGAGCACACAGGGACCACCAATAACTTCCATATTCAGACAAGGTAATTCCCACGTAGCATCGTTTGTAGCATTTCAATCCCTGCAGTCTCTGAGGACAGTGGACAACACTGGAGCATGAAGAGATATCTAACAGGTGACCTAATAAAAAGCCTACTATGAATGATAGCAGCTTTACCTCATACATTGTTGGCATTATCACGATGACGGTGAGGGAGATCATTCCTGAAGTAGCCGTGTCGCATTTGCAGGTCAGACACCGCCATGTTGTACAATGACCGAGCTGTTCTGGAGAACTACCACGTCAGTGCTGCATATCACCTTCTACAGCACAGTGTTATGACTGGGGTCATCTGTGTAGTGTTTGTGGGTTTCTTTTGGTGTCTTTTTGGTTTCTTTATTCAAACAGGGATGTGCCACCACCAGGCGCGGATTGGTGGACGGTCTCCCACCCGTCCTGTGATTGGCTGCAGCCGGCATATAATGGAAGCCAAGATGGCGTCCGAGGCAGAGCAGACCAGAGCAGGGGAGAACAGCAGCAGAGCACAACCCTCGTCC